ATTAGTAAAACTTTAATCTGTTTTAATCACCGCCACATTATGAACGCATTTCATTGCTTGCAAGCAGGCGATGCAATCCTTCGAAATCCAGCTGCACCCGGTTGTTCGAAAATTAGCACTGGAACTGGAAACCGGCTGATGCCCATGGAACAAGCTTCGTAGTTTTGTCAGGCTCGTTGACAAAACGTAACAATTAACTTTTGTAACAGTACAGTTTTTAGATCGAAGGTTAGAAGGTAATATTATATTTTCATAAATTAAATCGTTAAATTCAACATAGCAAATCTTTCCTCTCCATGCTGCCAACTTTGCAAGCGAAGAACGAAGACTTGAGCGCAAGGTTTTGGATACGGTGGCACGGTGGCAAGAGGTCGACTTCCAACACCCGAGGTGCCGAGTTCAAATTCCAAAAAAGCTGCCTAAACAACTAATTTTCTTGAGCATGGAATGGAATTCATCCCTTATAGCTTCGACGTAATTAATTGAGAAGTTGACAGCGAGCTGTTGACCAAAGTAAACATGTTAAAAGGTACGGCCATGCTGTCTGATTCGAGCTCCTCTCAGGGCTGCACTTCATCTCGATGTACCTCATAGCTAACTATCCAATGTCATAATCGGCACAATGAGTAAATTCAAAAACATATACGGAACAACTCAATGTTCGTGACTGTGGATTTAAAAAATGACAGAACAACATTGTCCATGTTACTTGGTTAAATCAAGATTCAACGTATCCATTCATATCACCATCCCTTAATCGACAATGACGGCAAATAGGGACAGTTACAAATGATGCACTAATATGACAGCGAAGAGTTACGAGATAAGACAACAATTTTCACCCACTAACCCTGTTTTGGAGATGTGAGCCAAAGTTCCTCAATGCAACGAATTTCCTCACTTAGGAACGGAATGTTGGGCTATGCTTTCGGCGTGACTGCAGCCGAACAACACTATACAAAGGAAGAACCGGAATGTTTAATTATAAGGCCATCTTCCAAAAGGCGAATAACGGCTTTATGTTAAAGTGCATGCAAAATTAGCGTATCAGAATGATGTAAGAGGAATTGTTCTGAGCTGGTTGATAAGTTCTTTCGTTTCTTATGGTTCCAGCGCGTTTGTTACAAAGAAATTTCGAAACTTATATAAATGCTAGTGTTAAGCGGATGGCGGAACAATCAATCAGTTTATG